ACGCCTTCTCCCCGCGCCGCATGCAAACCACATCGATAGTCGATTGTACGAATACCATGGGCAAGGATGGTCGTGTCGATACTTTGATATCGATAAATACACTTTCACATAAATAAACTTACTCAATCACTACATGTACCTACTATTGTTATTAAATAAATATATATGGAATAGTAATAAATGAAGTGAAAGTAACGTGTTACAATCCTGTTTCTCATTTATGTATCAGTTTTAATTTCTATCCCTATATATAATATGTGTTTATAATAAAACTTATTTATCCATCAATAATGATGTCTCATTTTATCGATAAGTTAAGTTTACAATGTTTCCAGCCCTATTGTCAGGTCGTGCAAGGAATCTGTATCACCAATATCATGTAGTACTCCCGGTAAAACGTACCGTATGAATCCGACGTGCCAGCTATTTATAAGACGTAATACAGACTGTGTTTGTAAACTGTAATTGAAAAAACATTATATATGTTCTGAAAAACAAATTCGTTGCCAAATACTTTTATTTTTTTTATTTTGTATCAGTGATACATTCATATTTAACCGCATACCTTCTGAATTTTCTTTTATTGTATATGTTGCCAGTAACATCACATAATTTAATTTCATCATAACAGTAAGCATTATAAAATTAATATTAAGCCCGTTGGCCATCAAATATTAAAATTTTTAAAGTAAAAAGTAAGTCTCAATACATGTTCAAGTATTTGTTTTTTCTGGAAAACAAAAGTCATAAAAAATTCAAAAGAATAATGTAACATATAAAGGATAGGTTATAAGTTTTAGACAAAAACCTCTAATTTCCGAGTTTATGATAAACATACATACATATAATAAATCTCCTTTCTTTTTTATTTCTGTTTGAGACAAATAACTGTATTTTTCAATACAAAAGATTAATCTCCAATATATTTTACCTAATACTATAATTCAATTGTGTATAGCGTAATTGATTCCTCTCATTACATATTTATTATTCTTCAAATTCGTGATACTTGTCTCTATATCTAGTACTAGCTGAATCTCGCCTCGTGTTTTTCGATGCCTTTCGATTTCACGTCACTCAGCGGACACATTTCCAATTATTTAAAGCCGACAACTGTTATAAATGCGGTTTACATGCTAATATATATCTGATATTTTATATTTTATGCAAAAGGGTCAAAACGGACTGCAGGTTAACAGTCAATTAGTGTTCGTTTTAAATCATTCTTTAATGGAATATAAAAGTGATGATATATATTAAAGATAACATGATTTATTACGTGTTCCTTTTATATTAATATATTTGTCTCAACATAACATATATTAACATTTTCCCAAAGAAGGTTGATGCCGGTCGTAAAAACAATTAGCCAAAACTATTCACAACATATAAGGCAGACCCTAGCTAAAGCTGGAAAATTGCCAGGAAGAAGAAGATATTACGTCTACTAACAATACTGAAGCTATATGTATGACAATAGCAACAATAATATACACCTATTCTAATTAAAGCACTTAGGCGGCAAGTATCCGTAATGAGTTCGCGGTATGCTCCACATAAATTAATTTACAAGTATAACAAACTATACGGATCTTATTAGTTTTCCGACAGCCTCAAACGGATGTAGGCTAATTATTATAATTGAGTCATTGTCAGTTTGTATGAAAATCAAACAAATTTTCCCTGATCCAGGGGAAAACGTATGACAAGACTTGTATGTTATTATCAAAGATAGGATATCCGCTATAATGATTGATGACCGAACGTCATGTATGTCAGTAAGTTATTGTGACTATTTGTTAACTAAATTAAGTCATAAAACATTGATACGATCCCCGCCGTTGGTGCGTAATCAAAATATAATAATTCAAAAAGAAATTCCGTTTAAAATTCACGAACGCGAACGGTACTTGAATCGATGTTTAACCTGTCAAAATTGAACCAGTTGGTTACATTTCGGCGGTAATGATTATTACACACGACTTTAATTTCGTTGCTGACCTTTTCACTCAGTAGTATACATATATATGTATATATTTTTTATATTTCTGATGCGGTTATCATCAAACGTCGATCAGGAATGGCTGTACGAGGCTGCTACATCCGTTCTCTAAGGTCTCAGACGACCACGCCCTGCGAAGCCTACTCTACTATAATGCCCGCTACTGCGCAATTGAAGGCGATCTATTCTATCTGTTATTTTACGTTAGAATGCAATAACTAAATATGTAGTAGTTTTTGCCGCGATCCTATGCGACTATAAAAAAATATAGACGTTCACATGCCTTATAGGGTACTAAAAAATGATGATTCTATACTTCCTTTTGTGAAAGACCTCGCATATCTTTGATAAGAATATAATAAAATGTGTAAAGCCTTTTTAGTGAGTGTCAACCTTGTAATATCAATCGGACGGTGTTCGATTATTTATTTTATTTATACCGACTCAAAACAGTTTAATATCATGTATAATTTCAGGGAATAATATAAGTATATATGTATAAAAGTTAAATCTATTACTATCACACAAAAAATAGTAAGTTTTGACATATAATTGTATGTTATAGGTCCAAAACTACATAAAGAGATGCCAATTTTCAGATTAATTAGTTATAATTTTCAACACTTGTTGATAAAAGAATTGTTCATAAAACAATGACTACAATAATAATCAAGTAACTAGATCATTTCGCAAAAATAACTTATAATATTTAAATATTTTTTATATGAAATTATATTATTTATTATTATCATAAGTTCGATCGTGACATCGTGATTTTTGAAACTGGATTGAAGAAAAAGAATAATAAATGTATATATGTAGATATAAATAGCCTATACAAGCTGTATGAAAAACTCGATTTAAAATACGATTAATGTAAAACAACAATAGATATCGTCGATAAAATAATGTACAACAATCAATCAGTTGTCACATTTTTGTATCAAACATCCTTAAACCGTTCCTGAAATTTCAGATCATAGACAGATAAGGATGCTGTTTACCTTGACAAATTAAAGCCCAGAGGAACTGTTATAAATATTACCAATTAAGATTTACGACCTACGTCCGTTTACACAGGATACGAGTTGAGACAATTTTATATTAAGTCCTTCCTCCTTTTACACCGAAATATGACCAAGGATATTTAATATATATAAAATTTAATATATATAAAATTTTATATATTTTTGTGTTTCAAGTTAAATCACCTTATGCTGTGAGGGTTAAATTGAAAGATGTTAAGAAGTTTCATAGTTCTTCTTAGGTTGAGTCACAAATAAAATTACATATGTTTGTGATATAAATTAATTTATTGTTTAATATGTATATTTATATATGACATGACATATATGAACCAGTTCAGTTACAAGAAGAACATATTTATCGAGATTCTCGTAAACGCATTAACCTTAATTAGTGAAAAAAAATTTCTGAAGTCAAACGCTTAAATTTCAAGTTGAACTTGTTAAAACATCGGCCTCGCAGCGTTTAATGCGTGAGTTTTACAAAAGTTAAGGAGAACTCGATCGAAATTAAAACCATCCAACATTATCGTACGTGGAAAATTTCTGCTCCACTTTTTCGTTGTACCCTTCAATGATGTCAATGTTATTTTTAATTTTAAACCTACTCGAGCTCTTTGGTGCTCACCTTCGAATGGCCTTTGTACTGCACTAATAAAAAAAATCGTTCAAATCGGTTCTTTAGTTTGTTCGTAATCGATAAATAAACATACACAAATGTACAATCACATACGCCCCTAAAGAAATATACATGATTAAATAGCAGATACACAAACAAACTAAACGAAAATTAACACCTTTTTTTTCACAAGAAGGCTTCAAATAACTACTTAGTTATATTGATGACACGTAACATTTAAAATAATTAAAAGACGTAATAAAGAAATAACATGACCATTAAAAATCTATCATGAAATATGACTAGGTAAACATGAGTTTATTTATATATATCATACATTTAAAACAATGACGCTATAACATACGAAACCGTAGTATGAAACTAGTTTGATAAAGACTATGACAAAGTTGGAGAATCGCAACAATAAAAACCCATGTCTCATCCGTCATGTTTTACGTAAACATGATTTCCATTGATATGATTAAAGTCATGTCATGATTTTATTAAATGTACATCACTAGCTCGAGGGCTTGAAGCCAGTGTAAGCTCAGTTTTTTATTATTTTAATAAAAAAATACGTCACAACATTATCGCTTGTTGAAAAACGGTAAGTAATTGAAACTTATTTTATAGTAAAATTAGGAATAATAACTTGTTAATATTTAAAGATATAAGTACATATGTAAGATATAAAAATAAAAAATATAATATTTAGATAGAACATTTTTAACAAAAAAAACCCCGAATAATCAAGCAGTTATGTAAGAATTATTTTTAAATTTAATTTAGTTACATAAAATGTTTCACATCATTTATATACATTTTCATGAACATGAGGAGTTAAATTTTTTAAAACTTACATCAATAAATTTGAAAAGTCCTACATGATTCTATATAAAAATAAAGCAGATATGTAGTTAGCAATAATTAGAACAATTTTAATATAGATTTTATTTTCTGTACCACTTGAAATTCAATCAAATTCTATTATCAAAATATATAGTCTGAATTAAAAATTGACAAATCAAACTTTATTATAACAAAATACTTTTCATATTACAACGCAGTTGAATCACATATAAAAGACATATGTACATATGTATTCAATAAAATATTTATATGTTCAATACAAAATATTATCGCGTTGACCAAATTCATACAATGTTTAATTGAAAGCAACAGCTGCGTTGCGTGATTCAACGCGTCTCATACAAAAGATATCAACGAACATTCCATAGATTCATTCATTGTTCGTATTAACTATATGAGATACTTAAATAACAGCGGCGTTGAGATCGAGTAGTGGTAGTAAGAGTAGAGTAGATGTGAGGGCGGCGGTCGAGTCGAGACTGAGCTATCGGCTATCTGTGAACGCTAGTACCGTTAGAGTGAGAGAGTTACCGTAGTAGGGGTGTGCGAGCGAGCCAGCCGCGCCCCGTCCGAGCCATCCGGAAGCCTCGCTGAAACTGGACCGTTTTCTTTTCTTGTTATTATTGAGATCGGCTCTCAAGTCCTGTTGTTGTCGCGCGGCGCGCCGCTCGCGCTGATAACGCGATGCCACGCCGGCCTGCGCACGCGCACCAGCTTTAAGCTCGCCCTCATGGAATGGATTTTATTCGTGTGCACTGACTCAAACGGATACTGTGCTATATATTATATCCGTTGAACATAGTGATTGAAGTGAAAACTATATGTGCTCATTAACATTATATTTTTATTAAGGATTTTTTTTTTTCGGACATCGCTGTTTGATTCTAAAGTGCGATCGAATTAAACTGAAAATACAGACGTGGGATCGAATCGAGTTGTGCCATTTCATAAGAGGTAGGTTTAATTTTTTTTATTATTTATGTTTTCTTTTTATACGTGACATGCGAATAACCGAAAATTATAAAAAATATTGTGTTGTTACTCTAAAAAAAATTAAGTGCAAATATTATCACTACGCTAATATTTATGATCGTAAAGTATTAGGTCGTTAAATATCCTGGTACTGCAAGAAATTAATAAAAAAAATTTAAGGAATAACATACTTTAAAAAAAAAAATCAAAATAAAAGTTGCCTATGGCCATAAATATATTTAAATAACCAACTGATAACAATAATATCTGTCAACTTTCCATAAAAGAAGGGAAGCTTAATACTATTATTTACGCTTAAATAAAATAAAACAATAGCAAAATATTTGCCGCCATCAAATTATATATGAAATTATCGATAATAATAAACTGACTATGGGACATCACTAATATTCTGAGGCAAATAATCTTAACAGTTTCACTGTCAATTTTCACTATACAATAAACGTAATAAAAAAAAGACAGAACTATTTGCCCCACTAAACCAGAAAGTGGTGGCCGTCGGCAGTCGATATTTTTTGCTCGAATTTCGTCCATTGTACCCTCACTATACAGTGAGACGTGATAAAAATATAATATTTTACAAATTAAAATTCAATTATAAACACAAAAAACCGTAACAAATTAATTTAATTTCAAAAATTATTAAATGATTAAAGTATTTAAACGTTTTAAATCATTTTAATAGAAAGAATATCTTTTATTTTCAATAAAATTATTTCTTATCAAAATGAATCTTAATTTAGGTTAAGATAAATTATTTAAACTATTTCCAAAGATTTTACATTTAAATAATAAAAAGATATTCGTATCAGATACAAATAATGATGACTCAGAAACATAATTTCTTTGATCGAAAGGATACCACGTATGAATCAGTCAAGTCAGTCCAAAAAATTTCATTAAATATATAACTAACTTCAACACTGAAACGATACAATTGGTTAAAAATATCTTGATAATAAAATACATGTATTAAATTCATTTAAATGAAACTAATATTTTCGGTTTTAGTACGCGTTTTTTATTTTTCATCCGTGTCCTGGCTGTAAAGTAACCGAAACGTCGGGAGTATGTAGTTTATAATCAAAAAATCGAGTAGTAAATCCGAAAATATTAGTTTCATTTAAATGAATACTCGCGAAAATCATAGATCTCATTATGAATTAAATTTAAACTACAATAGAAAGTGAATAATAATCTAGTTATTTAACTGGTTTAATCTTATTAATTAGCCGACTAATAGGAAGCACTATCAGAGATCGTTTTGCGATGTCTATTTATATAGAATACTTTTTTATTTTCAATGTAATATACACCTATATTTTCTGAATCGATCAATTGATTGCAATCGTTCGCTCCCGTCACAAGTCAATCAGTACGATCCACAGATCGAGATCCGAACCATAAAATAAAACAGTTTCTGCTGTATCATTATTGTCATATTATAAGACACTTTCACTGTTTTTCAGTTAGGTAATGACCTGTACTAATTTCAATCAAGACAGGTGACATTCCGGTTATCTTAACTTGTCATACATTAGGTTATATAACAATGTCTTGAGGCAAATATGGCTACAACGATTATAAAATTGATATGATATTAATTAAATGTAATTGTTAATATTTTGATATGACTAGAGATAGTGTTCTGTTTAAGTTTAAAAATGAATTTAGATACGAATCTAACAACGGTTAACAAATTGTTATGCGCCTTTGGACGATGGTAGACAAATATAAATAGATTAAATATTTATTAGTATTTTTTTTATAATATTTTATTTATTAACCGCCCATAGTTTTTATTATATTAAGAAACAAAATTATCTCTGGTAGGTGTGACAAATGGATGATTTCAAAACAAGTCTCCGATATATTTGCATATAATTGCAGTGCATCTAATTATCTAGACTCTTGAGGTACCTAGATCATGATCGTTTATAAAATTATACTACAAAACTATTAATTATTATTATTATACATATATGGATTTATTATTGAACTATTAATATTATTTATAGATTTTAAATCAAAGAATGTTATTTCGATTATAGCTGAAAAAAATATAACATTTATTCAAATGTATGGTTAATAATATAAAAAATACAGTTATTTTCCCACAAACTGTAATCACGTTTAAATATTATATTACATAATAATTAATTAGCCGTCGTGACTTAATTGTGCGTAACTTGAACTACTTTTAATACGATAAAAATTTAATTTAATATATTACGAAATATATTTCTACCATATTTATTTTGTTTAACTGTACTGGCAGCCCTATGACACGAAGCAGAGTATCGCAGAGCATCACGATCATAGGCGATAAAACGTTTACCGCTTTTAATACTACAAATTAAGGGGCTTAGATGGTAACTAGTTATTCAATAGCCACAATGCGATGGTATCGTCGGGACATTTCGATGCTAAGTACCATTCGCCCATTTGCAAAGTCCTATCAGTTTTGGAATGATCAGAAATGTTACCTTATAAAGCTATGCTATACATATGGAAACTTTATAAAAGTTATATTTTAATTTTTAAATTTAAATATCAACTCTATACCATTCGTAGTCTAGAATTTTAGGAAAAAATTAGTCTCTAAGTGGACAGTAAATTTATTCGTCTGGTGCACGACATATGAATCAAGATGCAGTAAACAAATTTGATACTAGGGGTGAATTTGCGAAACATTCGACAGATAGTGACAAGCGAATTTGACATTACTATACTGTTAGCCTGATACAATTTAAATCGAAAATAGCATGTATTTAGTCGTTTCAGCTATGTCCATCGTAGACTAATAAAAATTCAAGGAAATTCGAAATAGTCTGCATTGGAGTACATCACTCAGATCGTAAAAAAATGCACAGACGTTGATATAGACTGAGCGCATAATTTTTAGATTCATTTTCATAATGTGCAGTCACGTCTGAGGTCAACAGCGGACGCGAACACTTTCAAATAACGACGATATTGGTATTTTTCACAACGTATGACAAATACTGTACGTGTATGGAAAACTTTCATAAAACATTATAATTACTTAACGGAGATAAAAGTGAACTTCAAAGGAAATGTAGTTCGAATATCATGAGATAAATCTATCAGTTAATAAGATATCAATTATATATAACAGTCCAATACCTTTCTCCAATACAGAGCGGACGTCCGTTGAATATTTTACTGCTATCAGCCAGGATACGTTTAACTGAAGTTAAGGGGAAGCTAACATGGTAATATTAATGATTAAGTTTGTGTTAAATGTGTACATGTTTGTTACTATTTAATACAAAAACGATTAAATAGATTATGATGAAACTTTTTAGTCTTGATGCTTAGATATTTGAATAGGGTATAGGCTAGAATAGATCAAAATATCGCTGTATATACATTTCTGTCTTAAATTTTAAAGAGCGGGGATGACGTCACTAACATAAGTTCTGATATAAAACTAATATTTAAAATCTATTTAATATTATAATGTTTAAATGTAAACAAAAGGCGAGAATGTTAAGAATATTTATTAATTTTACTACTACCATATTACAAGTGCTATTATAATATTTATAAGTGTTAAACTTTTGTTTTTCCAATTTTAATTCTTTGTTACACAGTTTTGTAAACTTGACCTTAAAAGAAAGATGTTAAGAACAGATTATAAAGTAGAGAAACGATTACGTCCGCTCGAAGCAAAACCAGATCATGTGATAACAAATACATAGTTCAAACATATTATTTATTGCAAAATTATATACATATATATTATGAATGAAATAAACGCTTCTAAAAATTTATATATCATTTCCAAATATATATTATATCAATATTAAATATTATTAGAGAAAACTCTGTCAAATATAACGTCGTTGAAGTTATCAGTGACAAAATATTTGAAATATTAGAGTTGTGAAGAATGTGTACTCGTATAGACTATGCATTTCGATCGACTCCATACTAACATCGACATTCCTAGCCACACTCACCCACAGACCTAGATATCTAGGTCCCATATTGTTCCCACGTGTTTTATTGGACAAAAAACATAACTTTCATTATCTCTGCGTACATACGTCTTCAAGGCTTACGCAACTAACATAAGTTAGCCTAGTAGATGGCAATCGTATGGGAATACGATTGTTCTCGGAGGAACATGTTCACACACATGAATACCATTGGAGCCTATATTGCATGCCTTGTTACGATCGGCGCTAATTCAACGAAAAAACCTAATTGCGTTTACATTTGTAACTTTATTATAAAGGCGTGCACACACGGGACACGTTATTTGTGACTTAAATTTATATTGACCAGAAACTCCATCATATATTTAAGAATAAAAATACTATATAAAATTTTTTAGTCGTCTATTTGTCTGTTCGTTTACTTTGTAACGTGTCTAACAAGATCTGTGTATAAGAACGTCACATTGACACATAGCGAGTATTGCAAAACGTCACATCCGTAATCCATTAAATAAAAATGAAAGAGTTCAATTAAACAGTAATAACTCTCGATTTCATTCAGATCTCATACTTACAACCGTGACTTTTAACAGTTATATTTCTATTTAGACGATGGCGTGCGAAATAGTATGAAATCGGTATTACGTCATTGCTAATTGACGTTACCGATTGTTATAAAATCATTCAATTATGGAATTTGGTAAGGTCTGAATTGGAACAGTGGGCTACCATGAATTCAATAACTTTCGCTTCCCACCTCTGTGGTCACCATTTGATATGACACGCGTTGTGGCTTTGTAGAGCGAGAAATCCATTTCATTATAAATTACTATTTATTTATACAACACTTACAATAATATTCTAAGAGCCCTTTACGCGTATTTTTATGAAAAAAAATATTTTAAAAATAAAGCACAAGTTAATAAACTAGCCTATTGCAAAATATTTCAAGATGAACGTACTTTTTAAGTACGAAATAATTCAAGTATAATAATCACTAATCAGACTATAATATATTTATATCACACATAAATCACAAAACGTAATTTAATTAATAAAATATTAAACATTATTCCAAATAATATATATTTTATATTGATTTAAAATCTTATACGCACTTTAAACAAAATGAAACACCAGAAAACCAGCCAGTCGTTCTAGATTATGATATAGAAAACGTTTTCCATACAAACCATAATCACAGCTTTGTAACTAAGATCGATACTATTTAAATATTCAGAACTGTGCCATAATTCATTGAGGATTTAAATTCATTTATGCATAGAGCTCATGATTATACAGGGCTGAGAAGTCCAGTTCTACACGTGGAGGTATTAATACTATACATATCATAATAGGTATTACAGTTAGGTTACAGATTTACTGTTATCAAGACTGAACGAATTCGATAGACCCATATATTAAGTTAGATAATATAATTAAAATAATTTAATATAAAAATAATATTTATATCTTTTTATTTATTAATTTTATTTAATATTATCAATTAATTTAATCTTTTATTATATTTTATTTATGCTAACAGTCGTGTGTGAATCAGCCGATGTGACCACCGGTTATTAGCCAGACGCCCGCCAAAATTAACATAGGACCTTCAATTGTAACTAGGCCAATAAAAACTGTTGTGATTGTAAATTTAAAGCAACAGTTTGTTGTTATTATATATTGTATATAATAACATCTATTTAGATATTATAATAGATTGAATATTCACTGAAAAGTCTTACTTATTTTGAGGCATAATTGTTTGTTCAAGTTTCAAGGAAGTATTACGGAACGGATTTTTGTTACTTCATTATAATGATACGATTTAAATTTTTATTTATCTTATTTTTATTAATATGTATTTGTTTATTTGTTTAGGATATGATATATATATATAAGGATATGCGTAACTAAATACCAAATATAAAAAGTTAATTTAATATGATACTCCGAGGTGGTAGTTGACATAAAATAAATAATCTTAGGCAAGCGACTAATTTAATAGAGATTTCTATGTCAAACAGAACCGTAATAATGAAACGATATTATTCAAAGCACACAATCATATAATCAAATATAGTCCGTCAAATTCAGGGATCCGTCTATCAAATAACAATCGACTAACAAAAAATATCCCACGGCACATAATGAATAGTTAACGACGAAAACTAGGTGGATCTTTGATGCAATAGCCTAGTGTCTTTTTAAAGAAATATGATCATATTAAATTTCACAATATTTCCCACAAGCTATGAATGTACACTTGTCACATTGACAAATAAGCTTAATATCATACGTAGCGTATTATTATATACTGAGAACGCGTGCCCATTGCGTTATTTTAAAATGGAAGACGGTATTAAAAAAAAATCTATTAAAATGTCGTTAGCGTAATAAATAAGTGACTCGCAGCTTCTCGAAGATGATACTAATTTAAGCAGAGACTAAAGATAATTGAACATTGACGTGGTCGAATGAAAACTCTTCCCAACAGCAGTAGTCTCATTTATAAAAACCTAACTTAACTCATTGCAAATGTAGATTTTTTGTACACACCATCCTGCCAAGTGTAACCCTATCGCAAAAACTACGAACAAAACTTTTGGTCAGGAATAAATTTTATTATGATGCAAACGTACCAGCGGTATAAATGTAGTGTGTTATAATCCCAATATTACCGTTTATGGAAAGTAAAACTGCCAACATAAAATGATCAAATGACACTACTGGTACTTTATTCCATATATGGGCATTATTTTCATCTCTATCTATCATTCCTATCTCTTATGTGGATCTTAGAAAGTGTTGGCAGAAACCTATTAGACGTGGACCAATAAATACTTATTTGGAGTGCTTTTTTATTTTAACATGTGTAATTAGAATTAAAAAAGGTATAATTAAAAAAACAGTGAGAACACTCAGATCCAAAACATTTATTATCAAATGTTATGTAAAAATAAAAATATGTTTATTCATATTGTCATTATCGTTTTCTAAAAAATAAAATAATAAATTATGTGAACTAAACTCAAACTTAAATACTATGAAATAAGATATACATTGGTTTGAACAAGATTATAGCCTGTGACCCAATATATCTCGCGATTCTTTAATATTTATTTAAATAATATTTCAACAATTTAGTTAAATATAACAAAAAAATACAGTAGCAAATCAATTAACATTTATAAAGTCAGGTTCACACGATACATCAAAAAAGAGTGACATATGAACATATATGGCTATTTAGATCTCGCCTGTTAACCCATGACTAATTTGTTAATTTCTTATAATTTATTCACGAATACACATTATAATAGATAATATCTATGGCACACTTCTCACGCTCTAACTTAAATTCTTTAGTTTAATCACCACACCCCGGTACGAGATGACTTAATACATTTTGCGAAATTATATTCGTCATCCCTCAAGACACGACCCGGTGATTTAATTTTAATCTTGATTTTATTTCATTTCGTGTAAACATTTATAATATTTGTTGAGCTAACGTATATCTTTAAACTAAATAACCGGATTTCTAATATGTTTAATCATTTTATAATCCATTGAAGACTTTTTATATTTTTTTTATTATCTGCTCAGTGAATTAGGCAAATATTTGCATTAACATACAAAAACGAGATGATGAATGTGGAGAAGAAACCGGCTTATCGTACAGTCCAGTTTTAATAAAAGCCTTTAACGTTCTCTAACGCGATGTTAAAAAGTCGCATAAAAAAATGCCATTAATTATTTTATTTCCAACTAGCTGCGCCCCGCGATTTCTGGGACTTCCGGGATGTTAAGTAGCCTTTGTGTTATTCCTGGATGTCAGCTTCCTGTATATAAAATTTTATCAAAATCGGCTCATCCGTTTCAGCGTGAAGAAGTAACAAACATACACACACACAAACTTTCGGAATTATAATATTAGTAGCATTTACGCCTAAGTGCAGCACTAGTATGAAAAATTAGTTACTTCTCATAAAAATACTTGAAATATTTCGTAAATAATAAAAAATACAACTCATCATTCAAAACTATGATAACAAAATAGTAACACATATGATTCCCTCCATTGTTTTGTTATCCCACAAAACAATGGCAGTCCCAACGAAAACGTCTCAAGTACACACGTTCAATGGAAATTGGCCGAATGTCAAACTGTAGTACTTACCCAACATGCATCATGACATTACATTTGTTTGTAGTGGACCGTGCGAATTATTCCCACGTGATGTTAGATATAGGTAATGAACTATTAGCGCATCTGATAATAGGGTATTTACTTACCATTTACTAAACCACGAGTAAAATATGTTATCTTTTATTACGATTTATCCTTAACTACAATTGGACCAAACAGTGAGGATTTAACTCGAATATAACCAAGCATTGTGCACTGTGCAGTACGGTTTCGAAATCATCCACAGCATTGATAAGGCGTAGGTAATTACATAATGCTAGTTATCAAGGAGTGAGCCAGCGAAGCGGGTCAACATATCTGCCAGTCGTTTGTATCTCATGGACCACATGTTTCCTGTTAGACGAACGTCATTAATTTCCTTACTAAGTCATCCGACGTTTAGGCTATTTCACACGATAATTTGCATAAACTCACTTCCTTTACGCGATTTGTAACATCCTCGCTGTTTCCCCATTACTTGTATAAAATTATATATACACACAAAAATATAACAAAACGACATCCATACCATATACATTCTAATGCCATTAATACTATTTTTTTAATAGCTGTAATTATGGAATAACAAAATACACTACATTTTATTATAAAAACCGTCTACATCAAAAGTAACGTTAAATAACAAAGCTATTTGAATAAAAGTATCGAATTGAAATAGGTATTTTCCAATAATGTAATATGGGATTAATGAAAAATCGAACCAAGTCTATGAATCACAGAGGTGGGTATGCTCTTGTATATGTTTAGATCTTTTTCCTGTCCGAGATTGATTGGCCAATAGAGGATGTAAATTACAACGCATCCACCGTAATCGAGGATGAAGACAAGTGCC